TCCTGAGCCAGCCGTGCTGAGGGGAAAGGTAAGAGGTTTCCAAGCTGAGCCATGCTGGCTCAGGAATTCTGGGAGTTGAAGTCCACGAGTCATGAAGGAGCCAAAGTTTCCCTCATGCTGGCTCAGGAATTCTGGGAGTTGAAGTCCACCAGTCATAAAAGAGCCAAGGTTGCCTACCCCTGGTCTAGAGTGAATGGGGTTCAGTTCCCAGAATTCCCAGCAGCACCCCTGATGGCTGGGGAATGCTAGGAGATGAAATCCATACATCTGGAGACCCATGAGATTGGAGAAACCAGGCGTATATGAAGAACAGTGACAAGAAAAATGATTCCAAGAGTTTTAAGCCTTGATGCACCCGCCGGGCAGACACAGCATCAGTGTGTGCCTACAGAGACATCTTAAGAGTTCTGAGGAAAAAAAAATAGATTTTTCTAGAGAATGATAAGGACAAGTACAGAAGGAAGTGTTCTGAACAGGCCCCCTTCGACAAGGAAGCATGAACACTACCTCTTTCATCTTAGTGTGGGAACCTCAAAGTCTGTCGTTGAGGAAATGTTTGATTCTAAAAATTCAGATGAAAAAACGTACAGGTGGGCAGAAGTATTTCACATTAGAACACGTACTCCTTATTTACAGGAGAAAGACGGATACTGCCTCAGCATTAGCCCGTGGCAGGTTGAAGAACTCAACCTCCGAATCGAAGTCCAGCAATCTTCGCTAAAATGATAGCGGTTACAATCTTTGGATGGCGGGGTGAAAACTTTCATGATGGGTTGGCCCACAACTTCCTCCCTCTCCTGCCTCTGATCACGCTGGAACTAGGAGTACTCCAGAGTCCTAAACAGCTTGATGCCTCCAGGCTGCTTAGAAATCAGAAGTCACTGTCATTCGTTCAGGCCTCTTGGAAAGAAGGTAGAAAATCTCAGCAGAGAGAACAAATTGGTCATACCGTTAATGATTGCTAAAGAATTCTATGGATATGAATACCTAAAAGGCCCTGACCTCAAACATCACCGTCTGACCTCTGAAAGTAAAAGTATCTTGAGCAGGGCATCCATGGAGGATCTCAGCTACTCTGTGTAAGCTGATGGGAACGAAACAAAGGGAGGAAATCCTTGCTAAGGGTTCAAGGTGCAGCAAGCACAACACTCACTTAAGACTAATGTATTGCCAGTGATAGGGAGCTGTGTCTATCTTGTGCCTTTGGGTCAGTGTTGACTGCTGAACTAATAACTGCAGTTTTCTTAGCAGGGTTTCAAAGTGGCTTGCCATTGCCTGCTTCTCAGGGCTGAGAGAGGGGGACTGGCTCAAGGTCACCCAGATGGCTTCAGGCCTAAGGCAGAAATAGAATTTATGGCCTCCCAGTTTCTAGCCTGGAAGATTAAACCACTACACCAAACTAGCTGGTCATTCTGGGAATTGAAGTCCACCAGTCTTAAGGTTGCCAAAGTTGGGGACAAGGCTGTAGTGGCCGAGAAAATCTTTCTCTTGGCAGAGACATTTATCCTGGCTTAATCCCTTGCAAGATACGTAGACCAGCAGTCTCCAACCTTTGTGGTTTGGTGGCCTGGTGGGGGGGGGAGAGGGGAACCGAGTTGCAGGAGCAGGGGGGCTGCGTGTGCACGGCCCAGTTCTGAATAGGTCATGGAACTGTAGTGGGCCTCGGCCCAGGGGTTGGGGACCCCTAATGTAGACCATAGGTCCAGATGAAGCCGAGGTTTATGAACCAAAGATGTAAAGAGATGTCCAAAGTCCAAATTAAATGACCTCTCCTGTTTTGAAACCATGAAGGTTGGTATCTGTAAAGGCAACCCTGCAGGTCAGTGATAGAACACCTGTCTAATAGGCTTTAACATACTACTATCTTTCTTGCGTGGGGCTCGAGAGATTTTCATCTGAAACAATAAGGTAAATGTAGCCCTACATGAACTAATGCTCTGACTTACTCTAAGGCCACCTTCTATGGTGATACTAACTCATGGAACAGAGTCTATCCTTACTACTAAACAAACCACAGAAATCTTGAGAAATAAAGAAGTTACGCTATGTTTTCTTGCTGACTAAACTGCTGTGTAGCGGCCACTAACTACCTAAATCGTTTTCTTACTCCTGGCTGGATTGATGTTTGCTTTTTAGAGTTCTTGCTGATTTTTCCCACAGCTGCCAAGGCCTGAATCTTGAAGAAGCCTACGTAATAAATTAAACGTTGTGCAATCGTGTTAAATGCAACTGCATTTAGAAAAAAATAATAATATGAAGATTACTGATGAAGAAACGTTTTGGGAAGCTTGGTAAGTGACCACAATTCCCTTCTTGCTCACATTTAATTGCAAATAAATGAAAACCAGGAAACTCCTGGGGTGGCCTAGGAGAGGTTCCAACAGGTGGGGGAAACCCTGAGGAACATAAGAGTTGTAACATATTTTATAAGGGCTTGAAGCCTTTAATGGAGAGGCCAAGTGGGATTTGGGGGCGGGGGCTAAAAATAAAACCGACGCATCTCCTAGGACCTAGGTCAATTCCAATTTCAAAAAAAGGTCTTTCAAACGTAATGTTTGGTATAGTAATCAGGACTCTGCATTTCACCCATAATGGACTGTTAGTCTGCAACTGAGCAATCGATTACAACACAGTGCTGGGCTGCATTAACAGAGGGATAGAATCAAGATCATGTGAAGTATTAATACCACTTTACAATGTCTTAGTAAGGCCACACTTGGAATACGGCATCCAGTTTTGGTCACCACGATGTAAAAAAGATGCTGAGACTCTAGAAAGAGTGCAGAGAAGAGCAACAAAGATGATCAGGGGACTGGAGGCTAAAGCATATAAGGAACGGTGGCTGGAATTGGGGATGTCTAGTTTAACGAAGAGAAGGACGAGGGGGGACATGATAGCAGTGTTCCAGTATCTCAGGGGCTGCCCCAAAGAAGAGGGAGTCAAGCTATTCTCCAAAGCGCCTGAAGGCAGGACAAGAAGCAACGGATGGAAACTAGTCAAGGAGAGAAGCAACCTGGAACTAAGGAGAAACTTCCTGACAGAACAATTAACCAGTGGAACAACCTGCCTCCAGAAGCCTCCAACACTGGAAGTTTTTAAGAAGAGACTGGACAGCCATTTGTCCGAAATGGTATAGGGTTTCCTGCCTGAGCAGGGGGTTGGACTAGACGACCTCCAAGGTCCCTTCCAACTTTATCATTATTATTATTATTATTATTATTACCTCCGGACTGGACTATCACCCAGAGCTCCAATCCAAGAGATAGGCTACCCCAGGGAGGCGACTCCATTGATCGGGAAAGGGATTGAGGCCCTAAAAAATGCCTTTTTCTTCGCATTTTATCCAGGAAGCCAAGGCAGCCCCCCCCCCTCCCACGTGGGCTGCAGAACCATTTTCGCCTCTCAGAAATACCGAAGAAGAAAACGGCAGATGTAGAGATTCCCGCTCTGTAACACAATCCCGTGCAGAACAAAATCTAATGAGGCTTGAAAAAAAGAGACCCGGAAAAAGAATGCGGAGTGGGGGCGGTCCTGAGGCCTTCGCCTTTGGACCTGACCTTCTCCTTGCTCTGATCTCAAAGCCTTTGGAAGGATCTGATCCGGGGGCTTCCGGCTGCAGGCGAGGAAGGCAGGATTACACCCACTTCTTTTATTTAAGCTAAATTCCCCCCCCCAAAGGAATTGTGCTCCCGTTTCTAAACGCTGTGTTAAAGCTATTTGGGAAGGGTCAGCCTGAGTTTTATGACTTCCCGTGACCATAAACCCTGATTGCTGGCCACGCTGTCTGGAACTCGTGGGAATGGTAGTTCGGCAGTTTGGAACGCCAGTTGTGCCTCTCCTTGCTGGAGAAAGGCTAAAATCTTGGCTCACCTCATTTCCTCTTGACAATCTGCTTCTTCCTTCAGTTTTGCGACTTGATCCAGAACAGAAATTTATCCAAGACACAAATGAGCCTTTGGAGCTGCAACTTCAGCAAAAGAACCCCACTGAACTCTTAGGTTCAAAGAGAAATCCTCTCCATCTTAATAACAAAGAGTTTATGTATCACAGCCTCCTTTGAATTTTTCACACATTCAATATGGTAGCACACCACTGCCCAACTAAGCACTGAGAAAAATGACTTATGACTATTTTTCACACTTATGACCATTGCAGCACCCCCCCCCCCATGGTCACGTGATCAAAATTCAGACGCTTGGTAACTGACTCATATTTAAGACGGTCACGTGATCCCCTTTTTACGACCTTCTGACAAGCAAAGTCAATGGGGGAGCCACTTAACAGCCTTGTTACTAACTTAACAGTTGTGGTGATTCACTTAACAACTGTGGCAAGGTAGGTCGTAAACCGGGGCAAAGCTCACTTAACGACTGTCTTGCTTAGCAACAGAAACTTTGGCCTCAGTTGTGATCGTTAAGGATTACCTCAGCTTTGTCATATTGCCTCATGGCGTGAGGTGACAGAAACACACAGATCAAAGGACACTTGGAATAGGTCCAGTGCCTAATTTTAATGCTTATTTCAAAAGGCTAATATTTTCTATGTCCAAATTTCTATTGCCAAGCAAGACAAGTGAATTTTGGCCTCACTTTACAACCTTTCTTGACACCGTTGTTAAGTGAATCACTGCAGTTGTAAAGTCAGTCGCACAATTGTTAAGTGAATCTGGCTTCCCCATTGATTTTCCCTGTCAGAAGGTCACAAAAAGAGATGATACGACCCACATATGACTCTGCAACCGTCATCAATACGAGTCAGTTGCCAAGTGTCTGAATTTAGATCACGTGCCCAGGGGGGAATGCTGCAACAGGTGTAGGTGCGAAAAAGGCTCATAACTTTTTTTCAGTGCCGTTGCAACTTTGAACGATCACTAAATCGTTTGAGGATTACCTGTAGAAAAATAAAATAAAATAAAATAAAAACCGCTGAATAGTTTTTAGGGTACAGTTAGGAAAACGAAAGCAAAAGATGGGGAAACAGATGACAGCATTCCACCTTACCTGCGCTCGGATCAAAGATTCAAAACTTGGCTTGAAATAATCGATGCGGCTGCTGTAAAACTTGGGCATCTCTTCCAGAAGCTGCTTGTTCTTGGCCTCAAAGTCATCTTTCACTGGCCTCAGTTCTTCTCGGGCCTGGAAGAACCGAAAAGAAGACGTGAAGAGGAGAAGAAGATCTCAAAATGTTGTCCTTCATCTCCCCTTGAAAAGTTGTCCTCCTGGGTTAGTTCCTCCTGCATTGGGCATCGATTGATCACCATCTATAGATTGGAATGACTCTTGGAGGCTCAAAGCAGCCACCTCTGTGCTGTTGTTCAACAGGTAGTTATTCCCAGCTAGTAGACCTTTGAAGGACTTTAATTTTGCCTCTCACAGGGTTTAGTACCAATTCTGAACTACTGAGGAAAGTAAGTAGATTAGACAAGTCACTTGTCTGAAGTAGTATAGGTTCTCCTGCTCGAGCAGGGGCTGGACTAGAAGATCTCCAAGGTCCCTTCCAACTCTATCCTATTCCAAGCACAGCAGATGACAAGAGTTCTCTGATTTTCATCTAAATTCTGAAAAAGGTTTTAAACCTATCGATGGACATAAGAGATATGCCATCTCCATGGTGGATATCTCTTCAATGGAATTCCCTCCTGGTGTCTACATGGTTCCCTACTGCCAGCCTTTGAAGAGTTATGGGAGGTCATCTATTCTGACTTTTTAAGCTGTTCAGATTAAATTATGGTAGAACTTTGTGGCATGTTCACTGAATTCATGCCCAGGTTCTACCTCGGAATTAAATATCTAAAGATACTGAAAGATAATTCGAATTCAGGAAGAAAGATTTCAGGTGTATGGAATTCACTCTGGTTTTGAATTGATCTTCTTTTCCCTGGAAGCCTGATGACTTCTAAGAGCAAAATCTTGAGCCCCTGAATTTAATTTCAGTTCCAGAACTCTATCCAGCTCATTAAGTTCTCAACACAAAACTTCATTCCTGTACTATTTCTTTATGTTGACAATATACTTTTACGGTAGGGATGCATCCCTTTCTTGCTAATACTGGAGAAATCTGCAAATCTCCCAGAGAAGAAACATCCATAAGGTAACAAAAGTTGGAAGGGACCTTGGAGGTCTTCTAGTCCAACCCCCTGCTCAAGTAGCAGACCCTATATCATTTCAGACAAATGGTTGGCCAATCTCTTCTTAAAAACCTCCAAACCTAGTCAATTTTCAGTCTACTGAAGAAGCTTCTTAAATGAGAGCTGAAACATCTTCAGGTAAAATGAAGAAAGTCCAGTTGTTGTTTTTGAGCACCTTTGGGACAACTGTGACATGGATGATTGAGAATGTCCACAGACATTTAGACATTCAGTTTACTCCTCATGGAAACTCCCAGAGTGTTACTGGTGATATGGGATCACATCTGTTTGTGTCCTCTTCTGACAAACACCTTCATCTGCACATCTTCAGTTCTAGAGCCAGCAATGTTTCCTTGCACCCAAAAACCCTCCGACATTTCCCCCCCCCCACACACACACAAAGCTCTGTGAATGCTTTTTAACACCTGGTGCAACTTGGTCACGATGGGTCCCGTTTTCTCCTTTTCTTCATACTTCTCCACCTTGGATTGGAGCCGTTTGTAATCTTGCAGAACTTGTTCGCGACGTTTTACTGCCATATTGAGACTGGGGAAGACACCGCTGAATCTGTGGGGATTTTTAAAAAAAATGATTTTGATATTCTCAATGTTGTATAGCAGGGGTCCTCAACCTTGCAACTTTAAGACTTGTAGACTTCAACTCCCAGAATTCTGGGACTTGAAGTCCACAAGTCTTAAAGTTGCCAAGGTTGAGGACTCCTATTGTATAGTATTTAGGCTGATTCTCCTCTGAGAACTTTTTTTTTTTTTTTGAGGTTAACAAAAGCTGGATGCTAATTTTTTTTCACTATAGAGAAATAAGCTTTTCCACTTATTCTTTCCCCTAGGATCTCAGAACACTGGGAATAATATATGCCCTTCACTCTTATGCATAAAACTATCTAGTTGAGATACTAGTTGGCTCAAGATGATTTACAGGAAACATGGATGCCAATCAGGGGTTTTAAACAATGTGTTTCCAGCAGGATCCAGAGCTTTGTTGAAACTCTGTAGTGTATTGCTTCTCAAGATAAATGAAAGATCCACGGGAAACCCACAGTGTGGATATTTATCTGGCACCGAAAAATTTCCTGCCACTGTGAAGCTTCAGCATCATTGTTTCCGCAAATCAAGTGGATGCATCTCAATTGCACCCATTTGACAAGTCGGTTCAGGAAATGGCGCTCCGTTCTAGCCACAAAATCAAATCAAGGGCAATTTAAGAATGCTTTTTGTTTGGTGTTGAATATCCCTCCAACCTCACCAGTTACCATCAAAGGCCCCTGTTTTCCTTTTGGCTTTGCTGTAACGATTTTTTTTTCCCAAAAAAGAAGAACACATGTTATAAAGCAGAAGGCAAGATAACACACAAGCCACAAAGAATGCAATTTTAAATAGGTTAGGTGGCTTTCAAAAACCAGCCAGGATGTGAATGAAGCAGGCTTGTCCCTAAAAGGCATGAAAAAGTCATAAATATTCATCTTGCCTCATTCAGGGATGGGGCCTATAACAGGCTTCATTATGTGTTCAGGGAGGGACACTCATCCTTGTCACAGTGAGCTGTTAAGCACTTCAGCCCATTAGCTGCAGCAGGAGCCAGATTAATAATCCTTGCATAATTCTAGATGGATCACCACTGGATGCAGGGGTGGCAGAGAAGTAGAAATATGTTCCTGCTGTGGAAACCACAAAAGGAGATCTTGGCCAACCTTTCTCAACTTCAAATCTTTCCAATGTTTCCGACTACAGTTTCCATTAACTCACTGAGCATGGCCATTAATTAGGCCGATCTAGGGAAATTCAACTATTTGGTTCAGTTCTGGAAGACAAAGCAACAAGACGGTCCCCTTTTTCTTTTTCTTTCTTTTTTTCCCCAGTCGTGATTGTGACTTTAATAATTTTTATCCAATCATTCCAAGGCACAGTATTTGTTTAATTGTAGCCATAGGACCCTCATTAGCAACAACAGGTTCTACCAAATTAGCTCCTATTTCTTTCCCTTTACCTTCAAGACCCATTATCAGGGCATTAGAAAGTGTGTGAAACATCTGGAGGCATTCATGCTCAGAAGAGTTATATTATTCCAACGAACTCAGATTGTTTCTGTGTCGCAAATTAGCATCAGATAGAAAGGGGCATACAGAATTATACACAGTAGAACTTAGGCACCTTTATAGATGAATCTATATTTTGGGGGCAGATATATATATATATATATATATACATATGAAAGATGTGAACGAGGAGGAGCAGAGGTTTGATAAGAAGATAAAATACTAATCAATCACAGCGACTTTATATACTTTCATATGTATATATATATATATATATATATATATATATATATCTTCATTTAAACTGCACCATCGTAGAGTTATCCAACCGGAATAATCTGGAGTAATGCTTTGTGTGCATTCCCTGTTTTTCAAGTGTGTGTGTGTGTATGCATGTGTGTGTGTGTACATACATGTGCTCCTATTGATCCCAGCATCTCGTAACTATTGGCTGCATTGGCTGGAGGATGTTAGTTGGTGTAATTCACCAGAAGCTAAAAAGCGACAAATTCTGGGTCTGAATTTTAGAATCGAATAGTACAGAGCAGTTATGAAGAAGGCAGAAGATGAAAAGACTTGTCCTGAAGAGATCAGGGCAGTAATGAACCCTTGGTCCAGGGGTCCCCAACCTTGGCAACTTTAAGACCTGTGGACTTCAACTCCCAGAATTCCCCAGCCAGCCATGCTGACTCCCTCGGCTAAGTAACAAAGATGAGCATTGCACCCTAAGGTTGGACACGACTAGAGGGAAACCTTTACTTTCATATTTTCATTTTTTTTAAAACTTAGGTATGACTCCCAAGCAAGAGCTTATGATTTTAGAAAGCAAGGTAAGAACTCATCCTGACTCTAAATTAATCCCTAACCGTCCATAACTTGAAAGCTCAGAAGGCTGAAAGATGCATTAACATAAATATTTAGCTTTGCAAGTTGCTTCAATGACTTAGCCAAGCTGCTAGCAAAGAACCTTACACTCCACTAGTTTTTCAGCATCTTTTAGTTGGGGTCCAATAACTTTCTAAGTCAGTGGTTCTCAACCTTTTTAATGCCGTGACCCCCAACCAGTCGTAAGTCGAGGACTAAACTGATCATAGGTCAAGGACTAAACCGGTCATAAGTCGAGGACTAAACCGGTCGTAAGTCGAGGACTAAACCGGCTGTAAGTCGAGGACTACCCAACCGGTCGTAAGTCGAGGACTTTCCCTGCCCGGGAGCGCCGCGCATGCGTGGTTCCGCCCCCTGTGCCGGCCGAGGCGTAGCTGGCAAGCGGCAGAGACGGAGCAGGCCGACCACCAGCTGGCCCAGCTCAAGGGAGGTAAGGCACCCGCCGGAAAAGGGGGAAAAATGGCGGACAGCCTTGCTTGGCGACCCCCGTGAAATGGTCGATTGACCCCAAATGGGGTCGCGACCCATAGGTTGAGAACCGCTGTTCTAAGTACTAGCTCAATGAACACAATTTAAAAGACGTTGCATGACTTAGAATCGAACGTCTCTCTCGTGAAATATATTTTACTTCAAGGTTGCTGAAGACCTCTTGTTAATTATGATTTCCAGGAATCATACAGACAGGAAAGAAGCACGAGCTTTCACACACAGATCAACACCTGCAATTTTTCTGATGAACCAATTATAGATTGTGGAGCAAGGAGACGCAGGTTCAAGCCCCCAGCTGTCTACAGAACTTATTGGGGTAACTCTGGTTCAGCCGCTCTCTCAGCCCAACTTACCTTGGAGAAAAGACCAAGGAGAGACTTCTCCCATACATCCTGCCTTGACCTCTCAAGTTAAAAGGCATATATAAATGCAATCATAAAATAAAAAAAATAAAGCAGTCCTCAATTAACAACCCTAATTGGGACCAGCAACTCTACGGCTAAGCAAAGCAGTTGCTAAATGAAACATCATGTGATATGCAGTTCCAGTTGTGGTCATTCAAGGAATCACTCACAGCCGTTAAGCAAGATATCACATGACCATGACTTGCGGCTTCCTCCAGGCTTCCCCACTGACTTGGTTGTCGGAGGCCAGCTGAGACGGTTGCCAATGGTGATCGTGGGACTGTGGGACGCTGCAACCCTCATGAAGGTGTGGCCGTTGCCAAGCACATGAATTGCAATCACGTGGCTTCAAGGATCAGTCACGGGAACCAATCACCGGTCGCTATTTCAGCACGATCATCGCTTCCAACTTTTGCTACACTAATGATCATTAAACGAGGACCACCTGTAAATGCACGGTGGCCGAGCACTCTAGAGCAGGGGTGTCAAACTGGTGGCCCGCGGGACGGATGCGTCACGCGCAGGCCACGTCCACCGTGGCTCCGCAAAGGCCAAAAATGTCACGATATGTCATGGGACGTGATTGAGTTTGACACCTGTGCACTAGTGCAGGGGGTCCCCAACCTCGGCCACTTTATGACTTGTGGACTTCAACTCCCAGAATTCCTCAGCCAGCCATGCTGGGAGTTGAAGTCCACAGGTCATAAAGTGGCCGAGGTTGGGGGCTAGAGGAAGCATTATACTATGAGACGTAAGTGCTCACAATGTGTACAAAGGAACTGGAATGCACAGAACATATGTTCTCGTGAAGATTGCCCTCTGAAAATGCAATTTCCCAGAAAATTTACTCTTAGAATTCCACAGCTAGAGGTATAAATAATAATAATTAAAAAAACCATTAATAAAGGCTCTTACTGAGCCTCTATAATGTGGAGATCTAAGTATATCAAACATTATGCTAAGAGTTTCCCCCCCTCCTCCTTCCCACCTCTTTGCTGGTACACTATGTTGTGCTCTTAGCGATTTCAAAAGCTGCTGCGCCACAAAAACTAATCTATAAAACCGACTCACCTGTAAAGACTCTGTGCGAAAGATATTAGCAGCAGGAAAGGTAATGCAGTATTATTTAACACAAAGAGCTATTGACATTCACTTCTATACTTAGATTTTTACAGTGGCGAGAAGGACTTTGATTTCACAGACTAACTACACCAGCCATGCTGTGCTGCAGTTGCTATAGATTTATACCATGCTGCAGATTTAGGCTTATGAAAGACCGGCGTCCTGCTGCATATGCATGTCGATTGCCCCAGCTTTTCATTTTAGCTTAATTTAATTTTTTTCCCTTCTTCCTTTTTATGTCATTAATGGAGAGACTGATGGATGCAGTTAACTAGCATGCTAGCAAGAAGGGGTAACTGTAGACTTCTTGCCGTAGTTTTCTAGGTGTTGAAAAATGATCTGTAAGGAGTGTTATTTCATCTTAAGAGTCCTCACCTGTAATCTGAATCCCGTCAAAGGGCTTCAAAGCATGTAATAATAATAATAAAGTTGGAAGGGACCTTGGAGGTCATCTAGTCCAACCCCCTGCTCAGGCAGGGAACGAATGGTTGAAACCGAGGACTAACTGTGCAGAAAAACTTTTCATGAACTATATACTGTATTTCACAAAGGGGACTCCAGTCTAAATCAGAGAAAACTCGAGACCGTACACACAACATCGGAGAAGCCTGCAA